TATAATCAATTCGAAATTGTTCTGTTTTCTCTCTAGTAAAAAAAAGTTTTGTAAATGAATGAGGATTATTATTCAATCTTTATCATTATGTTATATACACAGTATTATATTATCTTTTCTTTCATGTTTTTCTTTGTTCTTCTCTTTGATTTTAATCATTTTTTTAATTAATCTATTGATGCATCTGAATTTACAATGTTCTATAATATACTAAAAGAGAAAGGGTTGAATCTGTTTGATGTTTCTTGTTTTAATTTCACATTATCAAGATTAGAATATATTCATTGAGTACATTTTTTTTCCATCGAGGCATATTTATCCGATATTTTTTTTATTATTCTCTACAAAGTGCAAAGTATTATAATGAAATTTGTAGGCAGAGACCGTGCAACGATCTCAAAGTTGAATGAAGCTGTATAAGAAAATGTGTCATAGGGGTGGTAACAAAATCAAAAGAATCTTGGTTCTGTTATTGGGTAATAACGAATAATTTTTAATTATTAGAAAGATGTACGCACCCTTACTTTTGCAATCTCGGCTTGTAGATACTTATTCCGATTTCAAAATAGTAACATGTGACTAGTCTTTGCGAATAGAATTTAAATTTTTAATTAATATATTGTTTTCTCTTTTTTTTCATTATTATTAATTCGGCTCTAAATCAACTAGTAATGACCTGTGATCATTCTTATCATTCAATAGATGTATATTTCTAGTGATTCTTTATCGTTTGTGTTTTTCTTTAATTAAGTATACCCTAGTTGATTTATCAAGTCGAACACTTATTCTATTGGCTTGTTTAATCAGTTGCCATTGCAAATTTAATTTATAACCTAAAAAAAACAGGTAATGCCTAAATTAGATTATTTTTAAATGATATTTTTAAAACGGCGAGTAAATATGTTAAGGAATCATGATTGATCGGAACTTATTATCGATCTATCTATTATATTCCATAATTTAAATCAAAATATTCTTTGTTTTGTTGCATCAATCGTTTTGATAAATATAATTGATAATGTGTTGTGAAGATAACATGTTTTCTAGTTATAGAAGCTAAACTATGATCGAGATTTATCATGTATAAATAAATCATCAATGATCACTCTTGATTACACCAAATTACTAATAATTAACATACTCATTTCCTTTCTTAACTAAAAATATACATAGAACTGGTTTATGACACGAAACGAAAGTGCTTAATTACTTATTTTCATATGCTCTATAAATATAATCCTGTGGGAAATCTATTTTAATTTAAAAAATGAATGTGTCTCAAACCATTATATAGAGATATCCAATATATAACAGTTAATAAGAATGACAGCAAATGCCAACATGTCATGACAAGTATACTGCTATTATGTGAATTATGAAGTATGATGTTTGATATTAATGCGGTACAAAATTTCCAGCTCATGTCACGTCATTGTTTGTAGCTCATCATTATCCATAACATGAAAATGGATATGTTTGCTCTCAAATTTAACTATAGTCCGAACAATTAAAAGTACGAATTAGAATTTTACTTTTTTTTTAATTTCATGGTTATGTGTTGTTTTGTTTTTATATACTATAGACTGATATAGATTGGTCATATAT